AATTATGTAAATTTTTTCTACTTCCTTGCTCATAGAAAACGGAAAACTGAAGGATTTTGGAAAAGCTTAATTAAATCTTCCTTGTTGGCCGTATTTAATGAAGGATGTTAGAAAGAAAGGTTGCTGCCCAAATATAGAATAATCTCTCTCTCTCACTCTCTCTCTTTCTCTCTCTCTCTCTATATATATATAATTTGTGTATTTAGGCAGCAATCCTTCTTTTATGCACATTTCATTGAATACAACAGACAAAGTGCTTTTATTTAGTTTTTTTTATACAATTTATGTGTTTTTTCTTTTCAGATGATAAATTATGCAAAAGTATTCAGATGTTCATCTTTTTCGAGCGCCTTCGGCTATACATTTAAAACCTCTAACCTCATAGTTAAAAATAATAATTCACCTCTTAGAACAAATTTAAATAGAAAAACATTATATCTGAAATTAAATGCCCATTAAAGAATTGTATTCCCGATAAATCAAAATTCGTAAATAATTATATAAGCCACACTACAACATGTTTGACACGAAGACTCACTCTACACCATTCTGACAATAGCTCAATTAGATCTCATTTAGATATTCATGGAGACCCACCGGACCCTAATCGCAAAGTACTTGTTGACAACACAAATATAATAGCATCATCTGCATACAAAAAAGGCTAAAAATAATGGAAGCCTTATTAATAAAAAAAAGAACTACATTCAGTAATATCAACTACGAACATGAACACAATATCTTGACCGTGTTTTGAAAAATTAAAACATTATATAAATACATACATGCAACAAACTATTTCTTATTTAACAGTTAATATATTTCAACTTTGAAAATGGCTAAATGTATAGCCGAAAGCGCTCGGAAAAAAGAACATTCGGATAGTTTTAATATAATTTATCATCTGAAAAGTAAAAAATATTAGAACTAATGAGAAATTTTATAAAAATCTAAATCAAAGTACCTTGCCTGTCGTATTCAATGAAATGTATATATATATATATATATATATATATATATATATATATATATATATATATCAGATAATCCTAAGGAGATAGGCACATCTACCTCTAAACGGATATTCAGGGAAGCTGAAGATCTGTTTTGGTGAAACCAAGGTAGGTTTTCCTGGCTCCTTAGGATTTTCTTAGGTTTTGTTTACTTAGTGTATTGAGCATTTTACGTAGTTGTCTTTTTACTCGTTTTGTGTTTTTTTTCTTTGAACTTAGAGCTTGAACACTAGACGATTATTTTCGCCTTGTTTTAATGTTCTTGATTCTTTCTTTTTTTTTATTCCCCATTTTTCCTCGGGTAACGATTTGTTCTGCTGCAAGCTGAGCTATCCGAGGTTTTTCCAAACGAGTGACACCATTTATATATTGTTATGATGTTGATTTGGGGTTAGTAGAGACAAACGCCAAATAACACGTAACAATAAAAAAAGGGTTTTAATAGGTTGGTAAAAAGGTACAGAAATCGCCTGAGTAGTCAATAACTAGCTCAGCTAAGAACTTCTTTGTATATCTGTCTCCTTCCCATGTCAACTGACATGCCAATATTTAAAGTCTTTGTTCACAGACGCAGACAAGTTCATCTTCAAGAGAATTGGTAGGTTTCCGACACAATATATATATATATATATATATATATATATATATATATATATATATATATATATATATATATAGCTAATATTAGTATATATATATTAGTGGTATATATGTATATATATATGTATATGTGTGTGTGTATATATATATATATATATATATATATATATATATATATATGTATATGTGGATATATGTGTATGTGTATACATGGGTATATATATGTGTGTATGTGGGTACACGCCTATATGTATGTATGTACGTGTATATGTTATTGTGTATGTGTGTATACGCATGTGTTTTTTAACATAAGGATATAGGTCCTTGCTAGATTAGATAATATATCGGTATATTTTTTTATATGTTTATATTTGATTTGTAACCTGTAGTCGATATTAATTTTGTCAAATTGTCTTAATTACACAGCGGCCCTTTCAGTAAATGTCCTTCAATTTTAGTTTTCCCCGCCCCATTTCTCTCTCCCACCCCTTTTTCTTTTCTTTTCTTCTCCCTCCCTCTTCTTCTGATCTTTAAGATTAGATCGTCTATATTGTGTGTGTATGTCACCACGAAATGTATCCTTTCCGGTTACATCTTTAATGTATTAGACATCCGACAATATTCATATTTCTCTCACTTAAACCGTCTTCAACTCCCCTCTCTAAAACTTCTCTCTGTTAAGTTTTAATCTCTCACCTTCTCTCGTCTGTTACCCCTCTCTATAGCTCTAACATTCGTCCCACACTCTCATACTTACACTCTCTCTAAATTCTATTTTTATTTCCGGAGTTGTTTTTTTTCGGTTTTCTTTTTGAATTTGTAGGTCTGATGAATTGGATCGTATTTACGATTCCAATGGAATAAATTATGACCATGGAATATTAGTG